CAAGATGAAGTGGCCTTCAGGAGCGGTTACCGAATGCTGCAGGGCCCCGGTGGAAGGACGGCCGAGGTAATGTGAGCGCGCTCCACATTTGTGAATCGGATGCCCTTGTGGACTTATTTGGACGTTGGCCGACGTCCAGCGAGAGTCTGATCCACCCGACAGCGTCCCTCTTGAGCCGTTAATCTGCTCTCTGGCTGTAAATTAATGCCGGGCCTCATTCACCCGAACGGCCACACACACTTTTCTTAAACCCCGACCTCTAGTGATCTGGCTAATGGCCACAAAAGTCACCCGTAGGCTGAGGCTATTTGCATAACAATACAGTAGCACTGCGACAGGTGCCGTCAAGCGGTTGCAATAGGTTCTTTGCAGATGACGTCACATATACGAGTGCTTTCCAGATGGAGGGCAAGTTCAATACTGCAGCAGTAATGTCTCTGGTTTGCGCCAATTACGGCTGTTCCAACCGAGCAAAAAACAAGGGCTACTTTTGAGTCCCGAAAATAGTTTTACACAAAAGGTGAGAAGTTTATAAAAAAATAAAAAAATAAATAAAATTAAATTAAAAAAAACAGACCACAGAAACAGCGACAAACACATCGTGAGCGGTTGGGGCCACGACCTCGGAACCAGAATAGCATTGAACGACTGCTGTCTTGTTTTTGCCGGGGTAGCCATCATCGCTAAAAACAAATCTCCCGGTAGATAGCAACTAGCTTTCCCCTGCTAGCTTCGCTAAAAACAATGAAAAATAAAACCACAGACCATGGTGGTGATATCGCTGGAAACATAGCCAGACACATCTGTGATATTATCACCCTGTGGTGTTTGATCTGTCGCTACTGTTTCACAGTTTTAGCTAGCTATCACCTGGCAGTTAACGAGCTCATTGTTTTTAAGTGGGAGAAAGTTAGCTACCCATCTACAGGGAGATTTGTTTTTAGCAATGCTAGCTAGTGAAAGCTAGCTTAGCAATGCCAGGTGAAAGCTAGTTAGCCATCCACCGGGAGACTTGTGTTTAGCGATGCTGGCTACCCGGGCAAAAAACAAAGACGTCATTCAATGCTACTTTGGTTCAGAGGTTGTGGACCCAGCTGCTCACAAAATAGCTGTACGCCTTTAGACTCTTGAACACCATCTGGCAAGTTGTGTAGTAGGTCTGGAGGACAAGGTAATTTTGCCTCTACACCGGGCAAATCGGTGAAGTTTTGGATAAAAAATAAAAATAAAAAATAAAAATATTCCCTCTTCATTTTGTAGGGATCACATCCAATATGCGTTTCTATTTTCTGGCGATACCTGCTGCGCACAGGTTCAAACAACCCTTATATTTGGTCAATTTGCGCAGTATATAGGTTCTTCCCTTCCCACCCTCCATCCATCTGAATTTTGCACGTCATAAAAGTCACGTGATTGCAAAGAAGCTATAAGAGAATATTTTTAACTTGACTGCTTTTTTAAAAACAGCCAATGGCACCAGCCAACAAGCTGTTCCCAGTAACACATATCCAGTTGCTCTACTCCCACACCGAAGGAACTACCACCCTCAGTGGGCATGTTGTCAAGCACCAAACAGTGACATGGCCTGCTTTAGTAATTGCAACCAACCACTCATGACGGACTTTGTTCTTGCTTTGGCACAAACAGAGTAATAAATAAGTTGCAGCAGGTAATAAATAAGTTGCAACAGCCTTTTTAATCATTCATTTGTCTGAATGTCCCATCGCCCAGGCCGGACCTGAACGCAGCCAAGTGCCTCTAAGCAAATCACAGAAGGAGACCCTCTAACCAATCAGAGGGACTGGGAGGAGAGTGCCTACATGGCCGGGAACGTGACCAGAACAGGGGTCTCCATGCTATAGCGTCCAAAACCTACGGCTGCAGGTCTAAGGGCCGCCATGCCACTGGACTGTGTTAAGACAAACCTCATGATAAAAAGAGTAGCATTACAATCAGCCATGTGATCTCAACCCCCGCTCACTGTGTCTGTAATCATAGTGATCGTGTAAATTCAGCCAGATCAACTATTAGTTGCAAAACAAGTACCATCTAGTTGGCACAAAGTAACATTTTAGCGACCCGAGACTTGTGCGAGTGACCCGTTGGAGTGGCCAGTGTCGCCGCAAGCCGAGGCAACATGCGATGACGGCCACATGCTTGACATCTTTAAGCGACCCCCCCTTCGTATTTGAATGACGCAGAACATATAAAACTCCCCATGCATTTACAACTAAACTAAAAACACAACGCAATATTATCGAAGACCCATAGGACGAGGTAAATAAAGTTGCGTCGTATACATTTTAGCACTTTAATGTAGCGTTGACGTAATGTAATCAAAGGTGTCCCAACACTAATGCTAGGGCAATAAAAACGCGTGCGCACCGATATGGGGGAATAAAATAAGAAAAAATAGGATATAACCCGCCTAATGTTGGCACTAAAGTGAGTTGACAAACAACGTGAATAAATGGTAACGTTACAGCCTCATTCGAATTAGTCGTGCGAGTGAGAAAAGAGCAGATGACGGCTGGATGAGTGTATGTTTTCTCCCTGGAAGTAGCCACAGTTAGCTAGCGTTAACCGTTAGCTATACACGGGCTGCCAACTAACGGTCAAGGGGTTTAGGTTAAACGGTTCACCAATCCTCCTTCGTTTACCGTAACAGGTGAGGGAGCATGGCAACATGTTATAACTGCCATATAACGTTCCTCCTTCGGGGAAGAATGAATGACTCAGCTTGGTGGTGCCGCTGTTAAAGGGGGAGGTGGCCATTTTTGAGTGACTGAGTTAGCTAGCCCGCTGGTAGTAGCTCTGGTGTCAAAATGTGGTTCCATAGCTAGCTAGCTAGCTAAGTGAGTGAGTGAGAGCTCATGACTACATAGAATAAATTATTTCTGGATAAAAAATAAACAAAACCAAGTTATCGCGTTAAACTGGTTACTTGTCACCAAAGAATTGCGGGAATGAAGCAAAGCATGTGGCCGGTGTTTCAGCCAACATGTCCATGAGCTGCTGAGGACTGACGCGACACTTTGAGAGACGGTAAGAGGACACAAACCTCGGGATGGTACGGAGGTCCCCGGTTCCTTTGGTCTCATCCTGCCGAGAGAACCACACCTCCAACAGCTTCTCGGTCCCCTCGAAGAAATGTGCACCATTATCTTCCATCATGAGACAACAGACACCCAACAACAAATATTAAACTTAGGTTGTAACGTGTACAACTTGATTAATCCTTCTTCGATCCGTTATAATTTATTGAGGTACAGTCCTTTAAGCAATCCAGGTGTTGATTTTCTTGAGTTACCGTCTTCCCTTTTGCAGAGAATACCGTTAGCGAGTGCTAGCTAATATCGCCGGCCATACTGTGTAGACCACTGAATAGAGATGGCGCTGTGAATTTATATGGTAGTGGCTCCTACGTCAGCCTCGCGTTGGGCCAATCAGGTCGCAGGGCTCTGGCTTGTTATATGCGATTGGTTTAGGGCCCTGTCACTCATTGTAAAAACAGGGGGTTTCCTCACGTGACGTTCTATTTATTTTCTTTACAGCCTGCACTGAGTGTGCAGTGGTTTTGTGCAAACAAATAGAGTGGACCAAATTACATTTAAGAGTATTATATTCACACAACAGTAAGCGAAGTTCATTTAAGACCCTATTTCACCTGTTTGTCGCATGAATACAGTACTATAATTCAGAGCTTCAAAATGATTGGACACATTTCTATGTAAACATGACCTTATCTGACGTGTGTTTGTTTACATGTACAATGCATGTCTGAATATGTTATTACTGCCATGTACCGTTGCACGACCGTAATGCATTAATTTATTGTTTGTACTCCATGTTGACATTTACAAATACACAATGTTGTCGTTTTCACATGTGAATATAGTATTACCACACATAGAACAGACATAACTGTTGTAAAATGAGCCTATTGCAGTTGAAGAAAATACAGAATGTGAATTTGGGATAATGTGTATTGTGTATTATATAGTCCATTGTAACTGCACACGTCCATAAGTAACTCTATTTAGCAACTAAATAAAAAAATACTTTTGTGATGGATCTTGCGTTGGAAATTATCATTTGTGATATATATATATATATATGTATGTA